ACAAAGGGCCACCGACAGGGAGGTGGGACAGCAGAGATCTGAACGAAGTCAGTCTGGCCTAGAGCCCATGCTGCTCACCTCTGTGTGCCCCTGGGTATAGATGCATCCTTAAGGGAGGAGGAATGAGTGTCACTGAATGAACCGGTCTCAGAGGGCACCCATTTCCCCGCCTGAAATACCATCCCTCTCCAACCCATCAGGTATGTCAACTCACCTCTTCTCCCCACCCAGGGGAGACATTTCCCCTTAAGACGTCAGTATTGCATGAAAGCAGGACAGATTTTAGTTTTAGTTTCCCTCACTTATTCTGTAGGCATTATCAGAAATAAGAGATAATGAACTGAACTCAGGAGATTCTGGCCTGAAAAAATCTCCAGCAGATGAACACAGAAGGTCAAAGATTGAGAGGGGATTTGAAGGGTCTCCAGAGGAATGCTCTCCACTGCTCCATATGTCTCCTTTGGGAGAGCATGCATGAAATTAAAGATAAACACTTGAAGCAAACACCTCCAGCCATCGCTGCTAGATGGCTTCAGTGGTCCTAATTACAGATGCAGTTAGGATGGCCAAGTACCCTGGCCTCTAGGGACACAGCAATGACAGGGCCCAAGGAATGCAGAGGAAAGGACATGGGTAGTCACGTCAGGCAAACCTGGCTTCACATCCCAGCCCTGATGTTTAATAGTTATAAGACCTGGGGAGAGTTGCTTGACGTCTCTGAGCCCTACTTTTCTCATCTTTAAAATGGAACTCTGTCCACAGAGAACTATTGTGAGGATTAAATAAGATCATGGATTTAAGGCACTTGGCACATATCCCACACCTATAGGGGTTATAGTAAACATCTATCAGTTTTTTTCCCTTCTTTCTTAACATACCCTCTTCCTATAACTCGGTTAAAAAATATATATATATATATATATACACACACATATATACACAGTCATGCACAGCACAACAATGTTTCAGTCAATGACGGACTGCATAAACAACGGTGGTCCCATAAGATTAGTACCATATAGCCCAAGAGTGTAGTAGGGTATACTGTCTAGGTTTGTGTAAATACACTCTATAATGTTTGCACAACAACGAAATCACCTAACGATACATTTCTCAGAATGTATCCCCATCATTGAGCAATGCATGACTATACATATATTTTTAAATACTGTATGTATTTTATATATATACTAGTGTTTACATATATATATACTAGTTCTCTCTTTGATATATTTCCTTTAAAATTCCTATTTTGATAGTACAAACCTGCTTTATTTAATTGCACATACGGCTCAATAGCAGGCAGTCTGAGCTGGCTTAAAATATGTTTCATGCATTCATGAAAGCTTAAAAACAGCTCTAATGTAGGAGCTCATCATATGTGCCACTACGTTTACTTAATCACTCAAAGACTTACCTGTAAATAGAGAAAATTCTACCTGCTTTGCCTTTTTCTTTCTGAAGAACCCATATGTACTCACCTTAATTATGGATTCAGAGCAGATGGTAAGCACCTGGTGAAAATACTTGTTGTAAAGCATGACATTGATTTCTCGTTCGTGAGTGTGAGGAACCTGTTTTGTATCTTGGATCATCCTGGTCAAAGGATACATGTCTATAACACTAGAGCCTGAAACAGAAATAAGAACCTCGTAGATAATATTAGAAGTTTTGAACCACAAAGGATTTTATCCAACTAGCTGTGTTTGGAAATAACCAATCAGTGGGGTTACTAATATCAATGCCTAAGCAATCTAATGAGGTGAAAATACATTCATTTACTCTAGAGCATTTTTGATAAATAAAGCAAATGTGATTCAACCAGAAAAATGCCTTCATTTTGGGCTTCATTAATTTTCAAGCTCAGGCCATTTGGACTTCATTGATATCCTCTTTTTCAGTAACCCCTACTTTCCTGTCATTTATACTGTACTTTTTTCCTTCCTGCCTACTGCACCTCTCTCCATCTGGCACACAGTAGTAATGGTGATGGTCAGCCTTCTGCTGAAGGTAAGCTTCCATTTAGTGACTGGAATTTATTGTTAGAGAGCCCTTTTCAACCCACGGATGATAAAGCGCTCTGTAAACAGGGTCTTATTAAATGTAATAAATGAGAATAAGTGCAAGCCAGTGCTTGCAACATTGATATCAAATGAGATTAATTTCCAAGTCACCATAGTGAAGCAGACCAAGAGCAAGTATTCCTTACTTGCATTTTTCTAGGGGTTTTTGGTTTGGTTTTATAGTAATACTATAATCTCCAAGTGTGACTTAACTCTCAAAATCAACTATGTGTTGTTTTAGTGTAATGTCTAGAAATACAAATAAGAATCTCAAAGCATTCCACGGCTCAAGCAAAAAGAAACTTCTCTATTTTATTGATGTGGAGATTAAGTTACCCAAGGCTGACACTTTGCATTGAGTTTCTCAAGTCTCTTCAAGGAAATCTGAACTTTAGGAGAAGTTTCAGCAGGAGTTACTAAACACTGTCCTAAGGTGTTTAAATTTTAAGACCAAATCTACTCATGTGTAAAGAAAGACTTAAAAGGCTCTTCTGGTAATATTTCTCAATTTAAATACCTCAGTATGGAAATATGAGAGGAATATGGTAACTGGATAATCAAACAACACTTGGAGCTTCTTGGTAGATTCTTTAACATTATACTGACTGTGACTGACTTTATCCAGAACTGACATCAGCAAAGCTAGACATGCTTATGAACAAGTGGTAACCTTCTACATTTTTGCTAGTTATACTACTACTATGGAAACAATGTAGTACAGAGAAAGAATGTGGATTCAGGAGTCAGAAGCTTTGGGATGGAATCTCAGCTCTATGTTTCAACCTTGTGTCCTTCTACTAGTCAGTTGAA